ATCAATGCGGTTGATCCCTGGAGATTTGTACACCTTAAGCTTTGCTTGAGACGATGCTTACCGACGGGGGTTTATGTCCTTCAACGATAAAATTGTAACATTTTAATTTAGTACAATGACGAAATTATATTTTGATCTCCTAAATTTCATGACTTTATAATTTAATTCCTCCAAAAATGATAAAACCTTACATTAATATAATGTTAAAATTTTACTTTAACCTCTTGAATTTTTTTAATTCAAAGTTAGTCCCCATTTCTCCTTTGGTCCAAATTAATTTAATCTTAAACTTTCAATAATGCTTTTATAGGTTACTTCTTTGTTTAATACTCTGTTATGTACTGTATATTTGGATACAACGAAGTAGGATACACCACAACATTCCATCCTTCATGTGTGATATATTTGATACATCATATCTGCCCAAACAAAATGAACGAAAAATCAATGTCGATTCTTATCGCTATGGATGCAAAAAACTGCAATTGTGGCCATAAACCATTACTTGAAGGCTAAATCTTTTGATTTAAGATATGCATGTTCATTATCAGCATTGTCGATACAAAATGCTACATGAAATTATAGAATTTTCACCTGCGACGACTCCAGCCTTCCGGTGCTGGGAAATGTCACGACCTGCATATCAGATAAATCAAAGAATGCCCGTATTAGCCATAAGACATATACCTTTACAATAGGAGGTAACATTTCCCTCCTTACATAGGCACAAGAAATTCTGTGTTTGTGTATGGAATGCGCATGTTCCAGCTCTCTTGGATGTATCCCGACACTGAAGGCAATGTGTTGTTACCGGAACATCGGAATTGATCCGAATTCCATATTCGGATCCGAATACACACTAGTTTATGCTTCAGCATCATCACAATACATATGAAACGTCTCCATTTGCTGTCCAATCCAAGGCAAAGCCCAACCTTATTGGACACTTCTCAAACTTTTTAGGCTTTCTAGACCTCTCAATTCTAATAAATTTATCCAGTTTAATATGTTCCAAATTTCTGTCTATATGCAGAGCATTTTTACGCAGGGATTTATTTAAGGATTTACTTTCATTACAGACGCGCATATGTAGACTGCATATGAAGGCTATTTCAACTATGTATTTATTTATACATACATTGTATTTTACCTTTATTTTTAATTTTCTGACTGTCGGAAGTCTTCCACGAAAGCTGCTCTCAACCTGACTTTAGGGACAGCCTACTACTATGCCTCCCTTACCCCATCGCATATGGGAATAGAGTTTTGTTGTTGTTGTAATATGATTCCAACATAAAAAAAAAGTTTTATATAGAAAGTATATAAAAAAAGTCGCAATTCTGACCTAAAATACGTTATCTCATTTTAAAAATCTGGTTTATTTCAATTTTGAATATAATTAAGACTATAAACGAAAGTATATAGAAATATTTTTTTTCGAAATTTTTAATCTAATAGTATTTTAGTCCCTTATTAATTAAAATTTATTCAAAATAAGCTTTTTGTTCCTCCAATTTTTAAGATTAAATACTTAATAAATCTATATTATTATAAATTCAAATAATTTAATTTTTCCTAACACTTGATTTTAATTGCGTTTTCAATTAAGAAAATTTTTTAAAAAAATTGATGACCAAAATGAAAATTTAAGTGGTGTACCTCAACACTCAACATGAAACCTTGACGTCGTACCATGTGACGCTTTTATCATTAAAGTTTTCAAGGACCATTTGAAAGTTGAAGCCTACGATGCCCCAAATGCATGCACACACAAGTGCAAACTTTAATTATTCCTTTGAAAAATAAGACCGACGACACTTCATGTGACCAAAACCATAGTATTAATTACTAGTCATCCATATCATCACTTGGTTTATATTTAATGTGAAAATATAGAACATATATATATATATATATAACATGAATATATAATATTAAAAATGTATTGTAAAAATTCACAAAATATATTTTTATAACACGTTATATTTATATTATTCATATAACACATACATAAAAACATGTATAAATAATTTTTGTTCTGGATATACTTTGAAGATTAAATTATAATGTTTTAAAATTTAGTGTTCTAAATAAAAAAAGATGTTTCTTTGTCTATAACACTAATACACAATGAAAATTTTCATTCAAATGAAATCAATGACGCTTGTACATAAAACGTCCCTATAATAAGAAGTAAGAAAGCCTTAAAATTGTAGTTTGATATTTAATTTTTTTTATTCAAATAGATATTTGAATTTAATTTTTAGGTTCAAATTTATATCTAAACATGATTTAATGGTTAAAGTTGATTCAAATAAGTCTTTATTGTAAGTAACAATTTAAACAAAAATAAATAAAATTTGTATATCAAATTAAATTAATAAATCAAGTTTAAATACCTAATTAGGCAAAAAAATTAAGATACCTAAAATACCTAAATGAACAAAAATATTTAATATGAAAATACCTAAATATTTAAAATCAAGTTTAAGTGCAAATATATATACACACACAAAATTATGGATTGGTTCACATGTAAGCATGTGAGGGCGTCCTAATTAACGTAAGAAAGATTGTATTGTACGGTTGCATGATGTACGGTGCGACCCACAAAGTTTCACGAAGGGAAGTTTTCAGATTAACCCTACAAATGGCTTAAATTTTTATTTTGATCCTTATATTTGAGATTTAGTCTTTTATTTTTTATTTATATAGTTTGATCATTTTACTTTTTTAATGTCATTATTAATTAGTCTACTATCAAATATGTTCATTAATATATTAAAGTAATTTTTTTAGATATAATATGTGCATTATGCAAATCTTTTCTTACTTATAAATTAAGAGATATTATGTACTTAAGTATGTTCGAACTCAAACCCCGTGTATATTACAATAACAATAGTTTCAACTAAATTAAAATTTAATTGAAAATATTGATGCGAATTTTAAAGAAGAATACTACATTACGATAACCCGCTGAATTATAATATTTTTAGTATTATATTTCGATATATTTTATGGTTGACAACTGTCCACTCTAATTTTTTTTTATCTCACTGTTGAATTCATCAAACTACCAATTTTCAGTTAAATTGATTCTAACCAATCATTTTCTAATTTAGTTAATCGAAATAAGTAACAGTAATAACTTATTGGAGTGATAACCACCATTTTAAAAGTAAAGGGACCATATCATAACAAATAAAAGCATAAAAATTAAATATCAATTTGAAACACACCGGAGGACTAAACTGCAATTAGACCCAAAGTACTCGCACAAGATGGGATGTTTTAATTAGCATGAAGATGAGAATCAAGTGGATGCACGGAAAGTCAAACAAACGTATCCGAGTTGTCCATTGAAATGACTGCGCCTCACTCGCAACTTCCAGGAAACTACAACCATCTTCATTGAATCAAATTTGACCCAAACAAGCATCATTTGCATCAACTTCTCTTTTCGTTGTATTCTATGCAGACGTAGTTGCCTTGAAGTCTCCTTTCCTACTCAAAAGTCTTCTGTTTCTTTAATATACGTATAAATTACGTGTCAAAGTATGGTAGCCGTATTTCCTTGACTGGTTAATGCAGGAAATTTGATATTTTATGCGTTTACACGACGGATTAGAGGGGCTACCGCCCGTTTAGCCCGCAGGTTTTGACGGTGTAGGTTAAACGGAGCGGGCTAAAAAGCCCGCATTCATAAACGGTTTTGAATTTTAAGGCCCGCGGCCTGTCCATTTAATCCGCGGGCTAAACGGGCTTACTCGCGGCCCGTTTAATAAAAATAATTTTAAATGCTTTAAATGCAATAAAAAATAATGTTTTAACTTACTACACATTTAAAAATGATCAAGCGACTTGAAAAGGAAGGTAGCACCGCCAAAATAATAAATAATATTTAATTTTTATTTTAAATAGCCGGAAATGATTATAAAATAATATTTTTTTTAATTTTTTAATCATTAATATATATATATAATGATATAATTACTTAAACTCAAATTAAAAAAATAATATTCATTTATATCACCAAATTGAAAAACAAATAAAACAATAACCACATTAGACTTTTATAAAACACGATTATTCAAGGATATAATATGAAGACACAGAAGTGTCTGAATTCTGAAAGCAGAAATTCAAACATAAAAATTTAACAAAGTCAAACATTATACAAATCTAACAAGAAAGTTGTCAAGTGGTCCTAATAATTGTATTTTATGGATACTTTAGAGAAATACTAAAACATAATATGAAAATATAATAAAATACTTACCGTATAAGAGTAAATTTGAAAGATACAATTATACTAAAATTGATAAAATATAAGTCATTAATTTGTTAAAATATATTTATTTTGTAAAGTATTTAAAAGTTGAAAAGTATGTTTTCAATTTTTTCTTTTACTTTTCTTTCTTATTTTTAATCTAAATATTACGTGTCATGTGATATATTATTAGAATATCACGTGACTTTTTATAATTAAAGAACAATATGGATAACATACTTCATGAAAAAAAATAAAGGTCAAAATTAAATAAAAAATATTTAAATACCAAAATGATAATGTGTATATTTAAACGAAAAAAATATTAAACAGCGATAAAATTATGACAAACACCCTAATAAATTTAAGAACTACAATAGTTATAACTAACATCATATTTATAGGTAATTTATTTTTTTCTATAAAATTCTTTAAGTTTATTTTATCTAAAATTTTATGAATTTTAAATTAAGCGGGCTTTAGTGGGTAGCCCGCGGCTATACCCATTAAACCTGCGGGTTTAACGGTCCGGGCTAAAACCCCCCCAATTTAAACGATCTTCAATTTTTGAGGCCCGAAGCCCGCACGAGTCACGGGTTAAACAGGTAGCCCGCAGACCTTAGCCCATATACCCAGCTCTACTACGAATCAAAGCTTAGAGAAGTTTAAGGACCAATAGTGCAATTTATCCTTTAAAAACATAAGGAAATGGATAGGGTTGGAGAAGGAAATTGTGTTATTTTTGTGTGTGTATTTACTCGAAGAACTGAACTGAATTATTCAAAATAGACCAATAATAAACAAAAAGAATGACATTTTGTGTGTGTTCTAACCCTCCTTCCCACAACAAAGTACAAAAAAATATAAACATGTGACCTCCTTTTCAACAGTTAAAGAAAGTTGTCTCTAAGATCTTAATTATTGTCTATTGTTTGATGTGTTGTTGTTGTTGGAAGCGTTGCTGCTGCTATTCGGGTGAACTCCGCCGATGATGGATGTGATGGCAGCCGCGAGGGCAGCGGTGAAGCTAGGATCTTTGGTGATGGCGGCTGTGGCAGCACTAACGGTGTCGGCCAATGAAGGCTGCTGCTGCTGCTGCAATTGTGGCTGTGGGACTTGTGACAACTGCAAGCCTGAGAATTTTGACTGATTATGCAATGGCTGACCAAAAAGTTCTTGAGGTAAACTTTGGGGTTGGCCGGGGAAAGGGACTTGGAATTGCGGAGGTGGCTGCGGCTGTGGTGGTGGCGGACTTCGGAATTGTAGAGGGTTGGGTGAATGTGTGAGGTCCAATGTCACGGTCGGGAACGGGGCCGAGGCCGATATGGTTGCCATGCTTGGCGAGTATGGGAGGATTGCCCTGGCAAGCAAGTTTTGGTTCATGATACCATCAGCACTTGGCATTGAACCTGAAAGCAACATGCTAGCGGCTGCAGCCGTTGTTGATGCCATCGCCATCGCGGCCGGTGGCAAGGGGTGGTTGTGGTTTCCCTCGTATGTCGTGATCAAGATTGTTCTATCATCCGCGCAGCGTTGAACCTGAGATTAATCATAAAAAAAAACAAGTTAGCTTAAGGCTTTGAAATCTAGATACGATCAAAATGGAACATTAACGACAAGGGGTTAATTACAACACTTGTCCTCAAACTATGGCTTATAATTCTACATTAGTCCCTAATCTTTTGAAACATTCTACTTGTGCTCTCAAAGTGTCTTTTCGCATCCTTGCAATTAGATTAAGTATGCTCAAATTATACACAATTTAATTATAGGCCTAATTTAGAGTTGGAGCCATCATTTAAGGACCTTTTACGAAATTAACCCTAAAAATTAACAAGAGGAATATTGAAACTTACTTGTTTCCGGACAGGACAACCAACAGCCATTGTGCATCGGTAATAAGCTCGAGGACAAGGGTTTCCTTTAGCCATCTTTTGCCCATATTTTCTCCATTGGCATCCATCGGTGATCTGTGTACCAAATTAATAATCAATTAGTTTGACAACAATCTGACAATTTCACAGTTAAAAGAAGTGATTAAAGCGTGCTATAACGCATACCATGGGAGCTTCCGATCGAGCTCGAACTGAAACACGGGCTTTCCTCATGGTGGCCTCGGCGGATTGATCAATCGGTTTCCCCGAATTCAGCTTCGGGACTTTGCTATTAGGTCCCCAGCTCTCGGATTCGGGGCTCTCTTCTCTACCAATTCTTTTTTCCACGTTGTTTTGAGGAGTCCCCGAACGTGTTCTTTCTTCCGACGACGAATGAGTCGACAACATCTCGGCTGCTTCGGCTCCACCGGATAGACGTAGATCTAATATTTTCAAAGGCATTATCTCTTCACCATGTTTCTTCTCTTCGGATTTCATTTCTTGGACCTGAAATTCCATACAAGGAACATATTTTATGTCAGCCGCCGAGATCGAGTAGTAAAGAATTCGATTAGATTTTAAATTTAATCGAGTTCGAATACGATAATAACCTGATGTTGTTCTTGGGTGGTTTCGGTTTCTCGGTTTCTTTGCTGTTGCATTAAGGTAACAAGGTGCATCTGGAGAGCAGTGTAATTGTTGTTGACATGACTAAGCATGTCTTTAAGCTTTTGATTTTCAGCATTCATGCGTTTCAACTCCACCTGTAATTGTGTCAGCTGAAAAAAAAATCAGTTTGTCGATTGAAAACAATAAAAGGATTAATTATCCCCTCAGTCCTATGATCTTCGAACTTTTAAAATTTAATCCCTTGCTTTATTCCCAAAATAAATCCCTTTATGGATAACACATAAAAAACAGTGTTATCAGCTAAACTTAAAATTTTAAATCAGTAGAGAGATTAAAATCTGGAAAGTGGAAGTGGGATTAAGTTTTAAAAGTTCAATGAATACAGGGACTAAAGAAAAACTCGACCCAAAAATGAATTTTTAATTTTAACAGTATCATCCTCTTACTTCATCCTTGGCTCGCCGATCTTCCATATCCGATGAGACTCCGTCGTCGACAGTTGATTGGTCACTTCCGGCCGTCAGAAGAAGCAACCCAGTCTATGTTTTAAAAAACCAAATCATAATTAATTATAATTAACGAAAAAAATAAACACGATCGTCACCGGTATCAAAATTTCATTTCGAACTTACATTTACATCTAACTCGGAAGCAGGAGCGGGTTCGCCGTGTTCCTTCTTAACACGATCATCATCGATCACCCTGGATTTCTTATCGGAGAAAAAGTCAACCTCGTTGACAGGGAGCCGTGTATCATCGGAAGGTGATGACAAAGAAGCGGAGGTTCCCCGGCAGTCGTCTCTCGACCCAGCGAGGGTGACCGGGAACTGAAACATGTCTCGTTGATGACTCAACCTGAAGAAAGCACCTGTGTTGGAACTTGTTTTGCTGGAGAAAAAATTATTAGTAACTGGATCAGATTCAAGGGTGAGACCCCATCCTTTGTCCATAAATTAAACAAAAATAATTTGTTTTATGGACGAGCTAGAAGAAATTATTAGTAACTGGATCGGATTCAAGAGAGAAATTAGCTTGGAAAATGATGGAAGAAATTATGTGAAATCTGTGAAGTCTTGAAACGTGCAATGGGGTCGCTTATAAAAAGGGTTTGGAAATTGGAACCGCAGACCATGATTTTTCTTTTCGATTACTTTGATATACATTTGGGTAAAATACAGGAGATGTAACTAGACTATGATCAAATGATCATTTTTGATTCTTAAAGTTTTAAAAATTATAAAATAGCTATTAAATTTTATCATAATGATATAAAACAGTATAGATGTTAATGAACCAGTTTGATCCAAGTTTTCGACCAACCCAACCCGATCTTAGAAGTATACCCCTTCACTTGACTTAAGTTTAAGGAGGTCTTATCCGACTTGAAATTTAGTCCAAACTTTGAGATAAGAAATCTACATTCTACCCGATCTAAGCCGACACAAATAGAAAAAAATTGTTTGATAAAACAGAAACCTACTTGAATATATATATATATATATAGTTATCATAGTAATTATCTCGAAACATATACAAGAAAATTATCCTATTATCTAGGATTGGATTAGGTTAAATATTTTTTTAATCTTAAACTCGAACTTGACTCTTTTCGAACCTAATTTTTTTAATAAAAAATTAACCATGTTAGGTCAAATCTAGTCGAAATCTATCAAATTTGAATCAAATTATCATTCTTATAAAATAATCATTAAAATTAATCAAACTTATTTATTTATTATAACGTTCTAATGATCATTGTGAAATAATTTGATAAATTGAATAATTATTTCTTATTTTTAAACGTTTAATGACAAAAACAATTATTTAAGCATAGTTACTAACCTACTATATAATTTACCCTTAAATTTAGCCGTGGTCTATCCTTTTGGATTTTTTTAGAATTTGATGTGATTTTTTTGTTTTTCTACGTCAGACGGTGCGTCATGTTTCCAGACATTTGCCCCCATTCTCTTCATCCGGAGATATCTAAGTTACCACATACGATTAAGAAAAAATGTTACCAAAAATTTTAATATTTTTAAATATTTTTGGTAAATTATTATTTAAAATATTATTTTTATCAAAATTATTAATATTGATGTTATATAAAATGTTTATTATTTTTGATAAAACGCTACTTAAAATATTATTTTTTTACAAAAAATGTTAATATTAGGTTCTATCGAAAGTTAGTTAGCAAAATTAACATTTTTTGGTAAAAAATAATGTTTTAGGTAGCGCTTTATCGAAATATTAAAAAATATTAACATTCCGATAGAATCTTTCATTAATAGTATATTAAGGTTGTCGTACAACAGAATATGGTCTTTCAAACTAAATTCTAGTGGAGTTGGGTTAATTGATTGGTGGTTGTGATTTTATGTTGGGTTGATTTACACTTTTGGTCCCTGTATTTTAATTCCAGATCTAGTTAGTATACTCGTTCTTTTATGATATTATCCAATGTCTAGTTGTCACAAAAAATCCAACTACATTTTGTAAAGAATAAACTCTTTTAATGTTATTTTTTTCATATATATTGTTTAAATTCGAAATATTATTTAAATGATATCATAATTTTTATAATGTAATTAAACATATATTGATTAATTATTATATTTTATTCGATATTTATTTTATTTATATAATATTATTGATTAGTTGAAATAGTGAATACTATTAATTATTCCATTTGAAAAGTCGAAGAAATACCATTGCTTTGAATACATCAAGTTAATATATTTTTATGATAAAAATTTTAAAACTAAAATATAATAACTAAATCTTGAATTTCAATGGATTAAAATTATAATTAAATCTAATCTTATAAATATTTTAAAGCCAAAATATATGTAATGTTATTTAGGAAAATAATTTATCCACCGCCCGAAGGTTGCGGCGTGCTCCACGTGATTTTTTATAATAAAAAAAGGGAGAAAAAACAAAGGAGATCCAAAGCCAAGTCAACGAATTTGACGGCCCGGCTCTCTTATGCGACCGGTGACCGGGTGGGGGCAGCGTCTTGGTCTTTCCTTGGCCCCACGTTAGCTTTCCAAATCCACTCCCACGTTTCAGATCTGTTCTCTATTCACTGTTTACAGGTGGGACCGAGTCATTTGCTTCGACTTTCTCCTCGTCCTTTCTTTTAAAATTCATTATTATATTACTTAAGATAACTCATTTTAAACAAATTTTATATATTAAAAATAATATAAAACTCAAGCAAAAGTGAAAAGGTCTACAATCAAAATGTTTGAATAAGTTACATGACTTTATGTAATTGGATGATGTAATTTACCCATGAAGGATTAGTCTAATGTTGTTAGATAAATGATTTTGGGTTATTTTCGTCAAACACCCCCTTATTATAGTTTATATTTTGATTTGATCTTAAAATTCCAATACATTTTAACTGAATCCTTTTAGTCTAATTATATTTTTAGGCATTAAAGTCTAACTCAGATTTGACGTGAAGTATATCCAAAAGCACATTTGAACCAACTACAAAAACAATCTATATCTAACTTTAAATGAATAGATAGTGTCAATAAATTTAAAGAAGTCTGTATGGTTATTTAAGTAATACATCAAATTCAAGTTGTCTATATGATATGTGCATATTTATTTAAAGTTTGATTCATATGTTAAAAAAAAAGTATTATATGTCAAATCGTGCTAGCAAGAATTGAGCTAACCATTAGGTTGTCAAAATTAAGAACTTGATTGACTAGCCATTGATATCTTCGTAAATTCAATTATAATATTTTAAATTCGAGGCTAATTTAAAGCACAAATCACATTTTAGAGAACCTGGTGCAATTAACCAAAAGAAATTAAATGAATAATAATAGTTTAAGATAACAACAAAATAATCTATTTATGGTTAGAAGATTTTAATGAGAATTTAAAAACATTAAAATAAAATAATAAAATTCGAGATGGATAAGTAGTTGAGAATTTTGACAATTAGGTAATTCAATGGGTTATTTGTTTACGTATTTTGAGTGGTGGAGGAGATATATATAAGGAGATGGCTAGTTGCATTGTCAACTTCACAACAATGAAATTCAAGTCCTTGTGAAAGCTCAAGGGAGTCGTTGTCTTTTTAAAGTATGTATTGACTTATAATTTAAACTAAAATCTCACTTCAACCAATCAAATTTGGGTTTTTTTAATGATCCCTATTCCCTTATCCTGTCATGATTGCTTACTACTTAACTTGGTTATCGAAATATAAGGAAGAAGTTAAGATAAAAGTTCGAGATAACTAAATATAAATAATAATAAAATGAAATTTAGAGTCTAATTGTTAAATTATTAATTAAAATTCAAACATTGAGAGATTAAGATATAGTTTAATTGATTTTAAAATTAACGAGGACTTAAGAAATATTAAAACAAAAAACTAAGGATTATCTAATTTTAAATTAATAAGACTTAAAAAATATTTAAATTCTAAAATGGGAAAAATTGAAACTTAATTTTCTTAGGTTTAAAATCAAGAGGGACTTAAAACCAATTAGGCATTTTTTGGGGGCCAAGGCGGATGAATGTAGACGCATAATAAGATAAAAAGGCAACAACCAGAAACAGAACAAAGTGATGGCTGCATAATGGAATAACATTGCATAGAGATGATTAGGTGCATGCTTTTGATTTACCTGCCAAGTTGCGTTTTGTTTCTCGCTAACATTTTACATATAAATTCAATTTTACAATATAACACTCTAATTTTAAATTAATTACTTAATAATTAGACAGTGACCTTTCTTTTATTATTCTTTATGCTCATACATCATATAACCTAATAAATATTAAAATTTAAGTTTCATCAACAACTCGTCTGATAAGTAATTAATATATTTTTTTATAAATTCGATTGTATATTCTTAGATTGATATAATTTCAGAAATATAATAAAAATATATAACCTTTTCTTCTTTTAAAAGAATTTTGTGGAGATTTCTTTTCTTATCTTTTGAAAAATTGAAGATGGATGTGGAATGAAAGGGCAAAAGTTGATGACTAATTGTATGCCTTAGCTTCCTTTCTTTACCTTGACTTCCCCGAGGCTGAACCGTCGACATCGAGGACTGGAAAAAAACCCAAGGATGTCGGCATAATTTGACAATTCTGATTGGACCCAAAGACTTTTGCACTTTTGTTTGGTGTGGCACCGTACGGTCAAAATATATATACTATTATACTTAAACCTAACCACTTTTCTTTTTATTCTCCCCTATTAGCTGTTGGTTTTGGAGATATCAAATTACATTACAAGAATAGAGGTTATATATTCAAAGTTTCAAACATACAACGCCCGGAAATAAACAATGATTAAGGAAAAGGGGGAGCCTATTAGGATTTTTACCCAAAGATCCATTCAAACAGAGGCGGGCGGTAATGCCATGGCCCCTAAAATTTTAGAAAATTAGCATTTCACCTCTCTATTTTAAAAAAAATAATTTGATTGTAGTTCTCATTTAGTAAAATATTTTAATTTAGATTTCTAATTTTTAAAACAATTTTAAATAAATTCCCTAAATTATTTATATCAAGATACGTTAATCTAAGTTTTTTTAAGGAAGATAGTCGTTGTATGTTGTTCGTGGTAAGTTCATACTGGCATAGGTTAAAGACAACGTGGGCTATAAAACAACATATTTAGTAGGTTCAACAGCCATTGGGGTATCAGATTCCCGCGCATATATATGTTCAAAAGCTGCGTCTCCTAGTTGAGTGAAATGTTCAAATTTTCTTTTATCTCTTTTAAATATTCAATATTCGATCCGATGGTTTATTAACTCGGATTAAATAGCTTAGATATTCATTATGGGGTCGATTTCCTAATTCAATACGGGATCTAATACTTCATTCTTTTTGACAACAAGTTTCAAACAATGATCCGGAATTCAAGTCAAAGTAATGGCAGCCATTTCTGGCGAAACCTTGAAGAACAGTGCC